ACATCAGCAGGAGAGGACTCTTTAAAGTAGAGACACTACATACTGATATACAGCTGAACATTAGCAGGAGAGGACTCTTTAAAGTAGAGACACTGCATACTGATATACACCTGAACATCAGCAGGAGAGGACTCTTTAAAGTAAGAGACACTACATACTGATATACACCTGAACATCAGGCAGGAGAGGACTCTTAAAGTAGAGACACTACATACTGATATACAACCTGAATATCAGCAGGAGAGGACTCTTTAAAGTAGAGACACTACATACTGATATACACCTGAACATCAGCAGGAGAGGACTCTTTAAAGTAGAGACACTACATACTGATATACACCTGAACATCAGCAGGAGAGGACTCTTTAAAGTAGAGACACTACATACTGATATACACCTGAACATCAGCAGGAGAGGACTCTTTAAAGTAGAGACACTACAACACTGATATACACCTGAACATCAGCAAGAGAGGACTCTTTAAAGTAGAGAGACTACATACTGATATACACCTTAACATCAGCAGGAGAGGACTCTTTAAAAGTAGAGACACTACATACTGATATACACCTGAACATCAGCAGGAGAGGACTCTTTAAAGTAGAGACACTACATACTGATATACACCTGAACATCAGCAGGAGAGGACTCTTTAAAGTAGAGACACTACACACTGATATACACCTGAACATCAGCAGGAGAGGACTCTTTAAAGTAGAGACACTACACACTGATATACACCTGAACATCAGCAGGAGAGGACTCTTTAAAGTAGAGACACTACATACTGATATACACCTGAACATCAGCAGGAGAGGACTCTTTAAAGTAGAGACACTACATACTGATATACACCTGAACAATCAGCAGGAGAGGACTCTTTAAAGTAGAGACACTACATACTGATATACACCTGAACATCAGCAGGAGAGGACTCTTTAAAGTAGAGACACTACATACTGATATACAGCCTGAACATCAGCAGGAGAGGACTCTTTAAAGTAGAGACACTAGCATACTGATAACACCTGAACATCAGCAGGAGAGGACTCTTTAAAGTAGAGACACTACCACACTGATATACACCCTGAACATCAGCAGGAGAGGACTCTTTAAAGTAGAGACATACATACTGATATTACACCTGAACATCAGCAGGAGAGGACTCTTTAAGTAGAGACACTACATACTGATATACACCTGAACATCAGCAGGAGAGGACTCTTTTAAAGTAGAGACATACATACTGATATTACACATGAACATCAGCAGGAGAGGACTCTTTAAAGTAGAGGACACTACATACTGATATACACCTGCATATCAGCCAGGAGAGGACTCTTTAAAGTAGAGACACTACATAACTGATATACACCTGAACATCAGCAGGAAGAGGACTCCTTTAAGTAGAGACACTACCATATGATATACACCTGCAACATCAGCAGGAGAGGGACTCTTTAAAGTAGAGACACTACAACTGATACACATGAACATTCAGCAGGGGACCATTTAACAGTAGCGACACTACCTACTGATATCACCTGACAAGCAGGAGAGGACTCTTTAAGTAGATGACACTACATACTGATTATACACCTGAACATTCAGCAGGAGAGGACTCTTTAAAGTAGAGACACTACATACTGATATACACCTGAACATCAGCAGGAGAGGACTCTTTAAAGTAGAGACACTACATACTGATATACACCTGAACATCAGCAGGAGAGGACTCTTTAAAGTAGAGACACTACATACTGATATACACCTGAACATCAGCAGGAGAGGACTCTTTAAGTAGAGACACTACATACTGATATACACCTGAACATTCAGCAGGAGAGGACTCTTTAAAGTAGAGACACTACATACTGATATACACCTGAACATCAGCAGGAGAGGACTCTTTAAAGTAGAGACACTACATACTGATATACACCTGAACATCAGCAGGAGAGGACTCTTTAAAGTAGAGACACTACATACTGATGACACTACATACTGATATACACCTGAACATCAGCAGGAGAGGACTCTTTAAAGTAGAGACACTACATACTGATATACACCTGAACTCAGCAGGAGAGGACTCTTTAAAGTAGAGACACTACATACTGATATACACCTGAACATCAGCAGGAGAGGACTCTTTAAAGTAGATACACTACATACTGATATACACCTGAACATCAACAGGAGAGGACTCTTTCAAGTAGAGACACTACATACTGATATACACCTGAACTTCAGCAGGAGAGGACTCTTTAAAGTAGAGACACTACATACTGATATACACCTGAACATCAGCAGGAGAGACTCTTTAAAGTAGAGACACTACATACTGATATACACCTGAACATCAGCAGGAGAGGATCTTTAAAGTAGATACACTACATACTGATATACACCTGAAATCAGCAGGAGAGGATCTTAAAGTAGATACACTACATACTGATATACACCTGAACATCAGCAGGAGAGGACTCTTTAAAGTAGA